TCAACAGAAGACAGTTACCATAATGCAGATATAATTTCCAAATTTCATCATAGGTGGGATTTGAACCTTAGACCTGCCACTTGGAGGATGACAACCTAACCACTATACTAGGATCACCATCCTTAGTTTCACAAATTTATATAAATTGAACAATTAGTTTTATATATATAAAAGTGTTCTTATAAATTCCAAGACAACTGATAACAAATTAGTTGGCCAAATTTGATAAGTTTTTGAATTTGATATTATCAGAATTGGATTTTCAGCATTACAGTAATTTGATAACATCAAATTCTAAAACTTATCAAATTCAGCCAATCTATTTTTTATCAGTTGCTCTGAAAATTATAAGAATAATTATAAATGCATAAATTAAAGATAGAGTAAGACAGTCTTACAAACTATACTAAAAAATAAATAGCAATAATATATGTAAATATATATTTTTCTTATTGTGATTAACTAGATCAACTAAGATCTGGGTTATCCAGTTTGTTGCCTGATTAGGGTTTTTTTAAATAGGTAACCTGGAGTTAAAATTTTTAGTAGATCTAATCTCAAAGTATAACTTAGGAACACAGAATTTATGTGATAAGAATTTGTAAATTATATATGTGATATATGTAATTTATATGAATTGCTAATGATTAAAAATAAAAAATGTGATTTAATGTTTTTTGCTTAAATAAAAAAAAATTTTTATCTTATAAAACAAAAAACTTACAATTCTTCAAATACTGTACTTTACTAACAAAAAACTTGCAATTTTTCAAATATTGTGCTTTACTAACAAAAATAATCTGTAATTTTAAAATACTGATAATTTATTTAATTTAGTTCATTTATAATTTATTTATTATTATTATTAAAAAACAGAGATAAAAAAAATATTAAATTAAAGTATTCACTACTTTTCATTTAAGCTATTAAAATACAATATATTTAATATTTTTAATGATTCTTAGATTTTGTCTATCATCTGCCAAAATTTTATTATAATTAAAAAAGCTTCTTTTAACAGAACAAAAAAATATAGGCAACCAAATATAATCTTTAGCAATTACACTTAATTCAGGTAATAAATAAGCTGTTTTATTCCAAAATTCTTATAAGTTGTTGAATTTAATTTTTGCTAAATTTAAATTAATATATATACTTTATTCTTGAATTAAACTAGTAGATAGATTTTCTAGTTCAGAAATAGATTTATAAGATTGAAAATTTTGATTTGCAGTAGTAAGACAGATAAAATGTGAACCAAAAATTTGAGAATCTTGAAAAAAAGAATAAGCAAGATAATTTATAATATGAGTTTCATATTTTTAGTAAGCTTTTTCAAATATATTTTAAAAAATAAAAATAAAATTATTAAGCTAAAAATTAAGTGAGATAATCAACTTGTTTAAATTAGTTCTAAAATTGGTAAAATTTTTGTTATTAATTAAAAATTGACCAAGTTGAGATAAACAGATTTCAATAAAAAGAAATACAGATTCTTTTTCAGTTTAAAAAAATTTAAAATTGAAACAAAAAACTGTATATTGATTGTAATAAACTTTTAAAAAAATCAAATAAAGCTATTTGATTAAATATTTCTAAATATAGCAGCAATTTCATTAACAAATATGAAAGAATTCTTGATTACTTCTTGTTGATAAAATGTACAAATATAATTCAAATGCTTATTAATATAAAAAACCATTCAGTACCAAGAATTTTAACATGTTTCAAATAGAAGTATGACTTTTTTTGGTACAATAACTTTATTACACTAAAGATGATATGTATAGTGACCTTGATATGCTTTTGTATATGCTAGTATTTGTTTAATTTGACTAATAAATGTTCTTACAATATTAAATTGATTAATAAAAATTCATGCTTCTTCAATTAAATTTATAATATATGCTAAACAAAAACTATGTACTAATTGTGATAAAAGTGATTTTAAAATTTTGTGATAACACTTTTTCATATATGTAGCAGAGTCTAAAATAATAAAATGAGGATATTCAAATAGTATAGACCATTGGAATAATGTTTAAATAATTAATTCTCTAATTATTCTCTAATTATTCTATTATTAATTTGAGTTAAAAAACTTCAACTAATTTAGTTACATTATGATAAAAAAAAAGAATATTTACAACACAATGAACACATAAATCAGATGTCTCATCTACAATAATTAATATTTTTTTATTTTTAAAAAAATTTTTAAGATCTGTAATACTTTTTTCAAAAATAATAGATAAATATTCTCTTTATAACATATTTGTGGCTGGTATTGCACCTTCTTCTTGAACATTTTCTCTAATCCAAAATTATAATTTATTAGTCTTTTTAAGTAAAATATTTGCTTCAACTAATGTTTTTACAAATAAGATAACAACACCTTTTCTAGATTCAGCAGCTTGCATAGTTGATGCAAATGTTAATTGCTATAATAAGTTGTTTATACATTCCACAGCAGTTTTTTTTTGTTTATAACTTTTACTTTCAATATATACTGTTATTTTTGAGTAAATAATATAATCAATACAATAATGGCACAATCTACACATAAGTTTGTTATTATCTTTATAAAAATCATCATTAAATTCAAGCACTCTACTGTTTAATGTAATTCTTTTTGAACCCATTGTACTACTAAAAATTGATTTATTTAACACTTTAACATACTGCTAGAAATTTATTTCACTTTAACATATTACTAAAAATTAATTTATTTTGCACCTTTTACACTTTAACATACTACTAAAAAATTATCTTATAATTTATTTCACACGTTAACATGTTACTAAATATTGATTTTTTTCTCACGTTAACATACTACTATGCTATTAGCTCGTTCGGTTCAGTTTTATAATAGTCAAATATATGGGTCAAATCAAGTTGATAACATTTACATTGAGAATATAAAATGAATACATCTGAGATTAAAATAATATAAATGATGTAAAATTATGCGATTTAGTGCGATTTGGTTTAATCACACTAAATCACAATTTCCGTGTCCCTGTAGTATAACCATTTAAAAATTTGAAACACTTTGTGTACCTGTTGAGTAGTACACAAGTTCAAATTATAATTTTGAATATTACGTAGTGTGAAATTAACAAATACGTATCACTACGTATCAATATTAAATGCCCAAATGCATATCTGATGAAATACAGTACAAACTAATTAATCTCATTAATCACGTTTGAATATTTACACTGTGACAATACTCAATAAGATCAAAACCTTAATTATTATAAATAATGAACTAGAATTAATAAATTTTTTATTTATATTATTTTTATTAAGATATTGGTATTTTGTTCTAATGTGAATGGCTTTTTTCACAAATGAAAATTCTTATAATAAAGTTTTCTTTTTCGAGGAAGCTTTGAAGTTAAAATAATAATGAAATTAGGAGCAGGAATTGAATTAAAAATTGGTGAGTGAACGAAAAGAGTTCAATTCATTTGTTTTCCAGATATCAAAATTCGAATATAGTAACTAACTTGCGGTCTAACGGGTCATAAAGAAATTTTGTTAGCAAACATTCGAAAAAGAAAAATACTAATCCATTCTAAATTCCTCGTTTGGCGTACATTCTCGATGCAATTTGAAAGTTGGCGGAAATGTTCTCTCTTCATTCTAGGATCATGACAAATTCATTCCTACCGAAAGAAAAACCCCCGAAAAAATTAAGGAATTCACCGAAAAAATAAGCCATATACAAAGTGATACCGTAGTAAATTTTTTAGTCTAAGGTTGAAAAAAAAAAATAAAAAAAAGAATACAATTCATAAACAAGAAAAATAGATGCAACTGATGTAAAAAATAATAATAGATAAAAATATATTTAAATATATAATATAATAATTTGTAGTGATAAATTTCACTATAAGGGCTTTTTTTCCTCAATTAGATTCTTCCCCTCCATTAATACATCCCGCTCGCTAAGAAAGAACTTTTTTTTCTTCTTTTTTTTCTTTTTTTTTCTTTTTTTTTTCTTTTTTCTTCTCTTTTTTTTTTTTTTTTTTATTAGTTTTTTTAGAGTACTTTCGAATCATTCCCAATTTTTATCCTATTATTGTATCAATCCAAAAATATGAATTGTTTTTGGAGAAAAGATATTTTTTGTTATTTCGTAAGTGTAAAATGTGTAGCTTGAATTTTTTTTTTCTTTTTTTGAAGTATAAAGTTTGAAGGGAATGATCGACAACATAACCCGTAAGGGAAAGGAGCAAGTATCCACCTGTCAATATCAACTGTATGTACAAACACCTCTTCATATATTTACAAAGGTAACAATTTGAATGTACATCCTAAGTGTGAAGCGAAAAGATAGCATATTCCAAGAGCACAATGCATTCAATAGATAATCATTTATCATATTAGTTGTTGATTATACTAAATGGATTGCATGCTCGAGTGTATGCGTAAGAAATAGGTGAAGAATGAGAAAGGGTATGATGTTATCGAAATGAATCTATCAATCAAAGAGTATGTTTGTCGTACGAGCCAAAAAAAAAAGAATGTTTAAATGGTGGAATCCTTGGGTTTGTGTCATCGTATAGATATGAAATAGTTGAAAGATGTTATTTACTAATGGGGCTGTTAGCAATTTCGTATTGAGGATAGCGGTAAGGTGCCTGATTAGGTGGTGTGAATTTTTGTGTTAAATGTTATTTTTTGCGACACGCGCCGCGTAAGAAATAAAAAAAAAAGGACTGAAATATACATATTATGATGAATGAATTACACAAGAAAGATCAATTACGCGCGTGAGAGGAATATAAAATAAAAAAAAGGAATAATATGTACATTATTCCTCACGCGCAAATTAAATTCATAATCTATTATTGCAAATATTAATGTCCATCCCATCAACAAAACAAAAAGCAATTTTTCAAAAAATAAGCAATTATTGTTTAATATTAAAAATAACGGTTGGCTATGAACGCCATCGAGAACTTGAGCGTAAATTATCGCGTGTAGATTTTCCAAGAATAGTAGATGAGGCACTATTCTTTTTTGAACGCCACAATGATACACCCCCATTACGACCACGGGAACTATTACTCTTTTTTATACCAACTTCATCTTGCAGCCGGTCATCGGTAGGTCGTGGAGACGCTGATCTTGGCAAACTAGGTAAAGAAGGTGATCTAGTAAGGGAACTCAAAGGAATAGTCATGGAACGCCTTACGGAAGGTCGTTGAACTTTTTCCTGTGTACTAGATGAGACACTCACTACAGAGTTTCCATCACATGATTTGTCAGTCATATTAAGACGACGTTTGTATGGTTCAGGACTAGGTGCTGTATCAGGTAATGCGCAAAATAATAGACTAACGCGCTCTTGTTCAGTATTCCAGTGAGGATAGCATAAACGATATTCGAGAGGAATATGTTGTTCGTTTTTATCAATGATTTTACCACGTTTTGTATAATTTTCAAAATAAGGACCACCACAAAAACTACATTTTTTAGCACTAGCAAGATAATCTTTGATATGTTCAGTTGTATCTTCTAATATTGGAACTTGAAGTCGAACAATAGTACGTGCAGCCAGTTCCATTAGTGTCGGCGGAGAATGCGTAAGCTGATGTACAAATTCTGTTTTTAGAGGACATCCATCAGTTCGCAATTTCCGAAGTTGTTGAAGCCGTCCGAGTTCAGCAGGTAAAACTGTGAGTGGGTTATCTCTAACATCCAAATGGACTAGAGTCTTTATTTGGCCAATTTCTGGTGGTAGTTCTGTAATTTTATTATCATCAAGCAAAAGAGTGCCGAGCTTCTTGAGAGAACCAATGGAAGACGGTATCCAGGTTAATTGATTATTTGATAACTTTAATTCCTGCAACTTGTACAAAAATCCAATCGTATCCGGAATAAATTCCAATCGATTTTTAGAGACGTCAAGTGTTGTCAAATTTTTCATATAGCCGATTTCTGCAGGTATTTCAGTCAATTCGTTACAGCATCTATAAAAACAAAAAAAAAAAAAAGATTATTTATTTATTTTATTATTTATATAAATGTTAAAAATAATCAATCAAATTTATCATATTTGAATTAGAGACTGTACCCAGGTCAACCGTTTGTTATTATTTCAACCAGTTAACTCGCTAATTTAATAAACGGGTGACCCAGGTACAATATTTAAATTTGAATATTTTCCTATTTTATAATATATTGATTATTATTCTTATTATTTTCTTTATACTTACATTTGTAGACATGTTGTCACATATAAGAAGCAAATATTAGGACTTAATTTAACAAGACCGCGCCGACAAAGTCCAATATTTTTAAAGTTTTGTAATTCGCTGAATACTATTGGACACAAATCAGCATTTATATTAAATTCACTCGGTATCATTCCATTCATCAACCCTTGACAACAAGAATTATCGTCTTCTGGTTTATCTACATCCATCATAACTTCAGGTGAAATAGTATCTGTTGTTACGGTAATAAACGACGCGGTTTCACCAACGGGCGTTATTGAGATAGGACGACTAGACATGGTGTGAGAAGTACCATTAAAGTCACCAATGTCATTAAAGAGCGTTTCAGGATTATCTGGAGATGGATGTACGTTAGACCGTAACGTTGATGGATTTAAGCCTGATATGCATTGTCGCTGATGATGTATTGACTTGGGAACATATCCGAAAGGCAAACGAGCTTGTTCTTTTGTGAGTTGGCCACCCATTTCTTTTTAAAATTAGATAACCTTTAAACAGTTTTAAAGCAGTAAAGGAAAGAGAGATTTGTTAATATGGAAAGTTAATAAAGGTATCGTTTGCTTTTCGATGTTCAACAACAAAAGCGCGAATTAAAAAAAAATAGAAGGAATAAACTCAAGAAATAAAAAATAAAAATAAAAAATAAAAATAAATGTTGAACAAAAAAAATTGGAAAAAGGGATGCTAATTTTAAAACGGGGTTTCTAGTCTTGCAATAACTAAGGTTGGTAATATAATCTTGTCATACATGGAATTTATGTAAACAGTTGCACACATACTTAATACATTTACTATAAATGTTGTCAAGTTCGCATAAATAAATTTGCATTGTATTGAAAATGCGGTGGTACTATGAATATTTTAGGTCGAACGAACGTTAGAAGGAACACGAAACATAATGTTACACCCCTTGAACGAATGACGGCTGAAGATACACTTTTTACATGCAACTTGCCCATTAGGGAATCAGACGGGGTATCGTGCAACTATGTTTCGACCTATAAATAACATTCAACATGTAATTATGGGCTTATAAAAAATTAATACATGCATATATTTAGTGATTGGATTATTTTATGAATTTTTATAATACGTATCAATGCACTTTTTATGTTAATGATTTGTCTGATTTTTTATTAATCTTCATAGCTGACAGAAACATTTCTTCCAATCCTGCCTCTTTCATTCTTTAATAGCGTAGAAATGTATTTATTAATCAACGATAAGTTATCAAATTTCTAGATAAGTTTGTTTATAAAAATTATACATACTTTGAAGAAATTTCTGACATGCACTCAAATTCAGAGACTCCAGGTTTAATACGTCCCAGTCTTATTTTTATAAATTTATCATGATCATGCAATGGTAAGTTATAGATTACTTCAGACTCTTCCGAAAGGATAGTAATCGCTTGCCATCTTAAACTCTTGATCGTTTTAAAATGATTTAAAAAAGTGTTATATAATTTTATATAATTCTTTATCCAGATAAACACCACATACCTTTAATCTAGAAATGTAATCTTGAACATTATCATATAATCCTTCCACAATAATTATTCCGGGGTATCCAGGTTTTGAAAACCCTTATAATTACATAAGCCATAAGACAGGTCCTCGGTAAGATCATTAATAATTACGTACGTACCCCATATTCCTAATTCATTAGCCCATCGACATATACACTTTCTCTTTTCAAATGATAATAAATGATGTGTCCATATCAAAATTCGACAAATTTTAAACGAGCATTCCTTTTTTTCATCAATTTGAGGAAGCTCAGGGATTGATGTTTCTGCAATATCCCGTTGCTGCAAGAATGATTTTATATGCTGATAAATATCAAATATACAACATTCTTTTACAAAATGAAATATATAAAAAGGTTAGCAATTTTAGATGGATACACGTATTTTATCACATGGTGATTCAATGTTACACCGAACGTTCTAAACAGAATAGAAAATCGACACCAACCGCCATCACATCTTTCATTCAGCTTATTTTCAATTTCCTGATTTATTTCAGTCCACGTTAGTTTAGTGACTGTGTCAGATGAAAAATAACATTCTGGTCTAATTTCTGGATATCGACAAGGTAGAAACACGTTGAACCAATTTTCACCCATATCCAGTAAAATTCGAAATCGAAAGGGAGAAACATCTAAGCCAGAAACATCATGAATTGACATAAACTTATCTAATGCAGACTAGACGACAATAAATAGCGTTAGGCATTCTCTTTTTTTTGATGCATTAAATTTGATGTTAATAATTAACCTTCCAATGTTCCAATTGGTCTTGATTGCCAACCCACTTAAATTCATTATCGTTAAACATGGAGATTAATAAAGACAATTCTTCATATTGTAATTGTTTATTACTTTCGGTCATTGTCTTGTTCTAATTATAAGGAAATAATGATTAATACAATATAAAGAAAATTCCCGCGAAAAGTTAAAATCCATTTATATAAGTTTTTGTGTGCTTATGATCTGCAGTCACAGTTTTATCATTTGATTAAGATGTACAAAACCATGCGAAGTAAATCCACCAGAGACCCGGATACTTATTTATAGGAATTTCATCCTATACGTATAAAAAAATTCAATAACTTTTTTTTTGGATAAATCATTTTTTGTACGACATTGATAAAATTCTCGGTGATAAACTTGTAATTTTGATTGGCTAAAACTAAATATATTCTGATTGAAGTGAAGAGAAAATCTGGTTTGATTGGCTAATCATCAAAAGCTCTGATTGGCCAAAGTTAAAAGGATTATTCCTGTGATATAGATTTATTAGCAATGACAATTACTTATACAACTACGTAATAATTTCTTAGTATAATAGAAATTCTATATAAAAGGTCGATAATTACTGGTATAGGCTTTTTTTTTAAATTAGTAATATTTTTTTAATAGTTTTTTGAATACATTTATTGAATACTTTAATAATTGTGATCCGATAGCTAAATTGGCATCGAAGTATTAAAGTTTTTTTTTCTTGGTTATAACATTTTTGGTATTGATTATATAGATTGAACAAAAAGCAAACATAATACTATGTTAAAGTATAAACATAACAAAAATATCTTTATATTAAAGAAAAAAAAATCAAATTTGTTTTGTATTAAATTAATACTTGGGTTTTTTTTTTTTAATCTTAAGCAGTTACATTAGTACTTTATTAAGATTCTTGAAACTATATACATATACAATTATATAGAATTTTCCAATGTCTAAGTCTAGCATTAGTGTTGTCAATGAACAGGTGTGAACAGATGTATAGACAAATGTGTAGACAATATACGAACATGTTGCACAAAAAAGAAATGTTAATAGCTTAAAAGTTTATTATAACAACATAATTTTGTACATTAAGTAAAAATATTTATCATTAAATTTTATGTATAATTATATATATTTAATAATATATATTAAGCAATGAGATGCATAAACATCATAAACATCTATGAATATGAACATAGATGTAGACTGAATATGAACATGAACAATCAAAAAAATCTGTAGATATAGTAAATATAACAACACTGTCTAGCATCATTTAGTCATTCTAATAGTACCTAAGTGCAACTTGTTCACTATTTTAGTTAGAGATAAACTGTTTATTTAATTACTTAAAGTCATATTAGAAGAGTTTTTTTTCTTCTGTGATAAGCATATTAATTGTTTTTCAAATTTTTTTCTTTATTCAAATTAGTTTTTTTATTTTTTTTTCTTTTTCTTTTATTTATTTATCTTTATTTTTTTTTCTAATTTCTCTCTTATACAAGTAGTTTTTTTTATTCTAGTTGTTTTTTTTTTTTTTTTTTTGGTATTAAGGCGACCTCTTTGGTCTTTTGACTTTTATTAATCACTTGTCGGCATTGTGGTTCAATGAACCACTACAGGAGAGTGTACA